AGGCTCCCAAGCAACCCGAGACTTTCCATTTCTTGGTCCATCAATGGGCCTCATGTTGATTTATCACCATCCATGCCACAACCCACTCAAGCAAGCCCCGGGTATTTGAGTGGCTTGGGGCCCACTTAAGCTCGTGGCGTGATTAGGTGCGGAATGATAATTCCTTGCTTAGCGTGGTGTGTCGTTTGGCGTGGCATGTGTGCAAGCGCATATGATGAACTTTCGCATGCCCAAATCGGATTTCTTCTTGGTAAAGCATCACATTGGGCCGAGAATTTATTTGGGCCGAACCGTGAATATTTTGGGCCTTAACACTAATAATCCACTTTATAATTGTTTATGAATAAAACTGTAGATACTAATTATGTTGAAAAAATAATGTACCTATTACTTGTTTGTTTTATGAAAAACATAATTTACCTAGTATGAAAAGTGTACATAATTATCTATTCCAAATAATGTACCTATACACATGTACAGGTATATTGTAAAATAATTTACCTGTGGGTAAATAATGTACCTATATTTTATATAAATTATTGTGTACCTATTTTTAATTATGAAAAATATGCGCAATTACAAAGTAACTGACTTTGTTTTTTGTTTTTTTTGGTAAATAATATACCTATATTTTATATGCATATATTTATATTATATTTTTCATGGGTACATTATTGGATATGTAATTTACAAATTTTTTTGTTTGTTTGTAATTTTAGGGGGCGAGATGTGAGAGGGAATGACAACTAAAAGAAATGAGGTGATTGATATGCTATTAATAGGGAGTATATTAATTACAATTATGGCAGTTAATGAAATGCTTGAAATAAATTATAAATAAAATATGAAGTTTAGTGGCAATGATGTAAAAACATAGAAATACTACGACCTCTTATATCCTACTAGTCATTTAAATTTGAAATTGGGTTTTACACATAAATTTATAGAGTGATGGGTATATGTCTAGGAAATAGAAAATGTAGGGATCTATATTGAACAAGCCCTATATTAAATACCTCTCAATTTCGGTTTTTAATGCAATTGTGTTAGAAGCTTTTAAATGTTTATATTGGTAATATTAAAGTGATCAACACTGTACTTATGGGTTTAGGAAGAAAGACAGATGGCTGAAGAAGAAAGACATATGTGGAAAGGGAAGAAATACATAAGGCAGGATTGAATGTGAATGTGTATCCAACTTTTTTTAAAATTAAAACTAGCCCCTTGGCACATGCAGAGTATGTGCAAATTGATTTAATTTTTTTTATTTTTTATTTTATTTTTAGAATTAAGAAAAGATAATATGGATAGTTATGTTCTATAAAAGTAAGACATATTATTTGATTTTGTTTTTAATTTTAATTTTTTTAAATATGAAAGAATATAAATTTACCATATTATCCTCATTTAATTAATAATTTCAATTCTTAATGTTTGAATTAACCAAGAGTATTTTCTGGTATTTTGAATGTTTCACCATTCTTTGCCTTTTGCTTTATATATATATATATATATATATATAAAGATAATTAGGATTTGTTTGGGTAAAATATGGAACATTAATGAGGGTTTAACTATTAATATATATTATCCATTAAATTAATCTAAGGGTCATTATTAAAAAGGTGCTCACAGGTCTCTAATAGGTCTTTAGATGAGCGGGGTTAACTGTAGGAATATTTTATATATTATGTTTGGCCCACATGATGTGATATGTATGGTAAATAAAATATTTAATTGGTTTAATAAAAATCATTTCGAGTAATCATATTTGTCAAATTACGAGAAGTAATTTTCTATTCCATTATCGTGATGGGTGGTAATTAATTAGGACTATACTAGAAAATGTCCTCTCTCTACCTATAATACTGCACATACCCATCTATTGTGTACAATTGACTGACAACACGTATTAAAGTTTCTTACATGCAAAAAACTAGAGAGAGAAACCTATTTCCTCTATATTGGCGACTCGCCTACGAATTTCCTACAAATTGCTCAAGACAAATATCTTGATATGCTAGAAGAGAATATCAAGGTATGATATTGTGAAATCATGAAGTTCAAGATCTTAGATCATTGATTAGGTCTTATAATTGTACTTAATATTAAGTTTACATATACCCCTCAGTGTGTGTACCTTCCACTCAAATCAAGACATATCTTGATTATAGCTAAATATCTTTATTTTTATTATTTGAAAAAAAAAAAAACTAATAAGAAGGAAAAAACGCCCTACTCTAGACACAACGCCCTACTCCAAACGCTTTCATGGTTGCTGCTCTTCCCTCTCATTTTCTTCCTCTTCCCCTTATTTTGCAACAAGACCCTAATCCCTATCGATTGAAGTTTTTGGAATTTTATCTTTTCATTCATCGAAACAGTTGGTTAGATTGAGTGTTTCAATACCACTACTGTTAGATTATGTGAGAGGGAGTAGGATAAATTAGTTGTAGGTATATGGAAGGATAGGACCAAGGACGGACCCAAGAATCTTATCTCGTAGGGTCATAGTGTAAAAGTTCAATTTTTTTTTTTTTTTACAGACTTGGTGGGGGGAGAGGGTTAAAGGTTTGTGGGGGGTGGAGATTGGGGATTTAGGTTTGAGGGTTTAGAAAATGGGGGTTTTGGAGTTCTCAACTCGGGAGGGAGGGTCTATTTCAATTATACAATATGTTCTATTTCTTTTTTTTTTAAGACCTGGACCAAAACGACGTCGTTTTGGCTAGGTCTTTTAAAAAAAAAATTTGCTGCTGCTGGTCCAAAAAGACGGAGTTTTGGCCAGCGCGTTTTTTAAAAAAAATTCGTTGGGCTGGTCCAAAATGACGCCGTTTTGATCAGCCTGTTTTTTTTTTAAAAATTAGAAGCTGGGCCAAAACGACGGCATTTTGGACCAGCGCATTTTAAAAAAAATTCATTGGGCAGGTCCATAATGACGCCGTTTTGGCCAGCCTGTTAAAAAAAAAAATTAGAAGCTTGGCCAAAAAGACGCTGTTTTGGCCAGCTTGTTAAAAAAAAAAAAAAAAACAGAATCGATGTTCAACTTCTTCTTCCTCAAATCTGCAACCTCCTCCTTCAACTATTTATGAGGTCACACAGCCATTCAAGGGGACCTTCGACTTTGCTTTCATGGAGTCCATAGGGTCGTTTGACCCCATTGACCATACTGTGGGTCCATCCCTGGATATGACAGTAGGACAACAATAATGGTTAAATAGAATGATTTTTATTATACAACAAGAAGATGGGATACATGACTTGATAGTTGAGTGAGTATATAGGAGTAAGCGGTCTTCTTATGGGTTAGCTATTGGCTACTTAACTTTTAGGTTGATTTGTGGGTTCTAGGCTATTGGCTACCACACACTAACAATTACCATCAATTCTAGATAGATTTGCATCAAGATCGACAAACATTAAGTACTGGTGTGGATCAACATAACCCACCCACTAATATCGCCTTGGTCGGTACCCATCTAGTCCTCACTAACTATTAACTATCAAGCTTGATGAGAACTAGCACCAAACATTGGTGTTGACCACCATAGGCTGCACACCAATTTATCTCCTATTGTACAACAAAATTCACCGAGGTTTTCAATGGATGTTGACTCAAACATCCTCATGGATTCATCGATTTGATCTGCTGAGCTTACATATGCCAACATTTGGAGTGCACTCGTAAGCTTTTGGTGGGGTGAGAAACCGAGATTACCAGTGACATCAGTTGTTTATATGAAGTAGGGGTTGACATTTGGGATATCATTTACCAAACGAAGGAAAACATGACGCCTCATCCGGAATCGACATCTTAAGTCATCAGGAGTGTAGACAGGATTTGGGATAAAGTAGTCCATCATAAATTTTTGATGCCCAAGAGCTCGTCCCCTACATTTGCTACTGCGACCAACAAAGGAGCCACCCCAAAGGCCTTGTTGTTGTATTTGCTCCTGAGTCCATAATGTTGCTGCAGTAGCCGCAAGTTGTGTATTTGTGTGCATTCGAGCATCATCTTCTTCATCTTCATCCATCATTTGGTGTCTGCGCTTCTCCCATTCGAAATCCAAGTTGGAATCCATTGTAGAATTGGTTGAAAAAGTGTAGAAGAATATAGGAATTACAAAGGAATGAGATGAAGTTGTGAGATATTGAATTGAAAACACTCCATTTATTGACATTTGGAGATGAAGATAAGAGGTGCCACGTCGACAAAAATCTAATCTGAAATCTGGATAGTTGTTTCCGGACCGACACGTGTCACTCAAAAATCATAGCCCGAAAAATAGTAGTTTAATTAAATTAAACAATATATAGTTGTATAATGTATAAGTGTTATACCATAGTTATTCTCAAAATAATAAAATATGAAGGACCCTAAAATATGGCCCTATATGGCTGGAGATGGAAAAATTTAGCCCTACACTATTCTTTAAAAAATTAATATTTTGGGGGCTAAATTTTTAGGCATGAACTACATTTAGCCCTCTAACTGGAGATGGCCTTACGAGTGAAACCGCAGGATACCAAATTGGAATTTACCCTAATTATATATTCTCATATATAAAGGAGAAGACCACACGAGTCCACTAATAAATAAATAATTACAATTGGAAATTGGAAGATAGTTTCTTCGTTGGCCGGGCTTGTGCAACTAGCTTGATTTGTACGTTGGGCTGGGCGCATGTGGAACAAGCCACTGGGCTGGTACCGCCTACAACAAAGCCCTGGGAAAAAATGGAAACAAAAAACATTAAAATGCTTGAAGTCGCTCGCTTGAGTTGCTCTAAACATAGTTGAAGCAGCACTTCACTTCTCCCTTGCTTCCCAGAAGAAACTTTCCATTATAATTTGTAAATTATAATTGCCACAATTCGCCTGCTGAAACTGTACATTACACTCGCTGTTCCCAGTCTCTCTCTCTCGCATAAGGACTTGAAATGGAAACTGAAGAGATATTAGCAGAAGAGCTGCTAAACGTTGAGGTTGAAATTCAAGGCGTCCAAGGTGCTTATCCTAAGCCCTCTCTCTCTCTCTCTCTCGTTTTTTTTTTCCGCGTGATATTTATTTTCTTAGCTTTAATTTGAAACCTAATCACTGAGGATTATGATAAATCAGAAAAAAAGTATTTAAGTGGAATAATTGTTCATGAAGAATGTTGACTAATGGGAAAGTATATTGGCATTATTTGAAGTTGGGAAAATTCAATCTTTTTTTTTTTAATGCTGGAGGACATTTGAGTGCAAAATGTTAAGTTTGTTCATATAATTGTTGGTGTAACCGCTGTTTTCTGAAAAATATTGATGGATTAATTCCAGAGGAATCTAGGAGAGTATGAAATTCAGTCATTTTATTGCTGCTAGGTACCTCGTGCACCAGGCTGCCCTTTATTTATAGTTGTATTAGGTTCAACTCATGCTTCAAGTTTCTTACTATTGGCTTTTGTTTTGTCGAGTCTAATTTGTATCTTAGGCTTTTAATTCATGTGACTTTTATGTTTTGGTAATCAATGGAGATAGTATTTGCTGATTTAAAATCAGTAAGAAAGATATGAGTAAATGTATTCTGATAGAATCCCCCATGAATGAGTTACAGAAGCTCTTTCACTTTTTTCTTTCATATTCAGAGCACAGTGTGATTTATGCATATGTCTCGTTTCTCAGACCAAATCAAGATATTGCTTGACCAACAGGAGAGGTTATATGAAAGGCAATCTGAATTGAAGGCTATACTTGAAGCATGTAAAGAATCAGGTTATCCTGTTAATGGCGCTTCAACTACTGTGGAAGACTGGTCTGGGCCATTTGAGTGGGATTCTCAAGCTGATGATACTAGGTTCAATATATTTGGCATATCTGCATATCGTGCAAATCAGCGAGAGGTGACTTCAGCCTTTGGATTTTTCTTTTTCAAATTTTCAGCTACTTTGTTTGATATTATTAAATTGTAAGCTCTCTAGTAAAAAAAATTCAAAATAAGAAGGATGTTATTACACAATCCCCTAGGATATCACCTTATTTGTAAGATGTTGAATAAATTCATGATTTAAGTCAGGTTAGTTGGGGAGACAGTGTGCTTCAAAATTCACTTAAGGCGGAAATTCCTGTGCAAGTGGTCAATAAGCATGAGCTCTGTCTGTAAGTAAGATGTTCTGAGTACATCATGTTTGAGCTTTAGTGAAACATTGAACATAAGTGCAGAATAATTTTACAAATATTTAGAACAGTATACTTGCGCATATGCACGGATATAAATCTATAGTAAAACCCCTCATCAGTTTCAGTTGGTTCTGTAATTTTTCAGTTAAGTAGGCCAATTTCCCTCTCCTGGTGATGTATATCTCTACAACTTCAGACAACACAGAATAACTGGATCCATCTAGCTTAATTGTGATCTGCGTGGACATATTGGTGCTTTGCACTGTCACAGTTGAAGACATGAAGATTGGCAGGCTAGAGGAGAAAGAATCAGAAGTAGAGTTGATAACTCGATCATCACTCATCTTCTCAAATTTAGTAGGAAAAAACTAGAGTAGTAATCAATCGGTAAAAAAATTGGAGGAGCTGCGGAAAATGCAGGAAGAGAAGAAACAGTAGTAATGGCAGGAAGAAGAAAGAAAAACAGGGGCAATGGTGGCAACCAGCAGTGTCGGCTGCTGTATTCTCCTCAGAATAGGTTGATGTGACCATTGCAATGGGTAGAATACTACGTGCTGGAAAAATCACAGAGAAATAGGGTAGCAAAAACTAAGATATCGAAAGCCAGGGTTTGGGCAGGGACTGACGGGTGGGTAAGAAGTAAAAATCCTAGATATTTTTGTTGTAGGCTCTGATGCTGTGATACATGTAGAGAATATTTTGAGATAAATTCTGTATGTACTTCTCCTTCAAAAGGGTGGATAAAACAGTTACTCGAAAAATAAAAAGAAGGCAAGTACAAAAACTACACGTAATTACAACTAATTACCCTATCAGTACTTTTGTAATTCTAAAAGTCAATCCCCTACACTCAGACCAACAGTTGGTTTGCTGTAGATGCTTTGTAGAATACTTGTCTTATTGAAAGCGAAGAGAACAACCGAATGATAAAATTTCCCAAAGATTCCTAATCCTTGGAAATTAAGAATCTTATGTATGAGCCAATTGCTGATTCACTGAACTGTAGTTTAATGTATGATTTAATTTTGTATTCCAATACAAGTATTGGTTTTTAGTATCCATAGTGAGAGTTCCATTGGGATAAACCATGTTGGCTTTGGCTCAAGTGGTGGATGAATGTGGTAGTTGGAGCTGTCAATGGTTTATCTTTATCCCTTATGAGGTGTGATTCTTTTGATGGTATTGCTGATTGCTCGAGTAGTTGTAGCATTATATTGGCTCGCCTTTAGTTTCTGTAAGTACAATTTATTTTTCTCATTCCCAAATCTGTTATTAGATTTACTGATAGTGGCTAATTGGTGTCAGATTATCAATGCTGTCATGAGTGGAAAAGATGTTCTAGTGATTATGGCTGCAGGTGGCGGCAAAAGCCTCTGTTACCAGCTTCCAGCAATTCTTCGTGATGGAGTTGCTCTTGTTGTTAGTCCTTTGCTTTCTTTGATTCAGGACCAGGTTCTCTTAAATTCTATTCTTCACTTTACTCGAACTGTCTCCTTAATATTTTAATCAGATTATTCACAATTACCATTGCTTCAGGTGATGGGTTTGGCAGCCTTAGGCATTCCAGCTCATATGTTGACATCAACTACTAGTAAGGAGGAGGAGAAGTTAATATACAAGGCCCTTGAAAAGGGGGAAGGAGATTTGAAAATATTGTATGTGACTCCAGAAAAGATATCAAAGAGTAAGAGGTTTATGTCAAAACTTGAAAAGTGCCATCATGCTGGTCGTCTATCTCTCATTTCTATTGATGTGAGTATGTCACCTTCAATTTTTCATTATACCTTAATGTCAAACTAGGCATATTTGTATATTGGTTTTATCTTCCTTTTTGTGGTCAATACGTGTTGATCTTTATCTGGTATACGGATACCTGTCCTTCCTCAGCATTTTCAATTATTGGCATGACCATGTGTAGATTAGACGTGCTACTGTGTTTGAAAAATTAGTATTAGAATTAGGGTATCCTCCGATACAAATGGAAAAGAATTATAGAAACTGAAGTTCATTCTTTTGTTACAAGTCAGCAATTTTCTACATCATTCCCTACCTATATGTTCAGCTTGGTGAGAGCTTTTCTTAGGGTTCCACTCTAGAAGATGGTGGATGAATAATATTATGGACAGAGTTGTTTAAATTTTGACATGAAGGCTGCATAATGGATTATAAACTTATAATTGGCTAGCTAATGTAGCATCGTTGGTAGCTTACTGGTACTGTTAAGTCTAGTGGTGTCTCTTAGTGCAAAGAGCCTCCAAAATGGGGATCAATACTGAAAGATGTTTTAGAGTAAAACCAGGACGAAGTTTTGTCTTACAGGGAACACCAAAGATACACAGTAGCTTCTTCCTCTGGCCAAGAAAAAAAAATCTCTTGATCTTGCACTTTGATCGTCTAAGTTCATGTCATATGCTTATTTAGTAAGTTTTATGTGTATGCTATTGAATACTTGGAACAAATGTTAGAATGCTGTATTGAATATTTATGCACTTGTATGTTGGTCGTTAATTTTAATTTTAAGGGCAGGTTCATGATGTTAACTGATGGTTTCTTCGTGATTTGCACAAATATTCTGTTCTGAAAGGCACAAACTTCGATTTGTAATTGGTGCATCCATGCTTCATGTAGCTTAGTAGCTCAACTTGTTCTCTGTATTTGATATCGTGGGGTTTTGTACCTATTTGTTTACTGTGCCACTTTCATGGGCTGAGTAGGATGTGACTTACTTTTATTAGGCATGTCTCCCACCTTTTTGACTGTTAATTGTTTGTGTTGTATTAATGTGTAATATTTTGAGTGTGTCATATGTAACATATGTTCATTTTGCCCATCAAAGCTTTTAGGATATCATCCTCCTAAATGGTTTTTTTATTTTTTATTTTTTATTTTTTATTTAATACAATTGTTTACTAAGTTGGTTGCATATCTATCTAGTGTCTAATCTTTAGGCTTATTTTACAGGAGGCACATTGCTGCAGCCAGTGGGGTCATGATTTTCGACCTGACTACAAAAGTCTTGGTATCCTCAAGACTCAGTTTCCCAATGTTCCTGTGATTGCTTTGACTGTAAGTTATTTATCTATCCTTAATTCTTATATATTTTTTTTTTGGGGGAGGGACTATCGCAATTCCCGAAAAGCTTCTTCCACTCCTGCTATTTTAGAACATGGACAGGCAAAAAGGCCCAATTTAAAATTCCCACAAAATTTAAGAGAACTTAAACTACCCTATGTTCCTTATAAACAGGTTAGATATTGCAAGTTGTGGGCATGTTGTACTGCTGATTATAACTAACTACTCTGAGTATGAATGAAGTGACATAGTGAGTGTATGATCACAGATGTATGTTTTTTTTAATAAGAATATGATCAAAGATACCTTTTGTGAACAGTAACTCAGTTAGTCCTTATGCTCTTAATCAACGTATGGACTTAACTATTTTGTTGGTGGATTTAGGTATTAGGGAACTCTATTGTAATAGCAAATTTTTGGGTGGTGTGGATGGAGAGGAACATAAAGATTTTTGAGGGAGCAAGCCATGCGGCAGTTCAGGCTTTGATTTGATGTTTTCCCATTGCGCTAAGGGTGCTATTTTGGTTTTGATGGACATCTCATTCATCCCAATTGTATTAGTTTCTTTCTTAATAAAATTGTGGTAAAAATTTGTTGAATACTGGTCAGAAGCAAAGGAAAGCATGATAAAAGGGGTGTTCTCTTGGCTTTCGATCTGGCACAATGATGCTATTGAGTGTTTAGAACTCTGATAATAAAGTCCTTCAACTATTGGGGCATTTCTATCAATTCATATGATAGTAATAGGAGTGCAAGAAGCAGTTTAGGATATCATCTCCATTTCTTAATTATAAAGAGAAACGAAAAGAATGAAGTATCCATTTGTTTGTTTTAATCTCAAAATTTTGGGTGAGTTGATGTTCTTCTCGTCTATTTTGCAGGCAACTGCTACCCAGAAAGTCCAAAGTGATCTGATGGAGATGCTCCACATTCCAAGATGTGTAAAGTTTGTCAGCACAGTCAACAGACCAAATCTCTTCTACATGGTTTGTTTATTTGTTCATAGTTGCTGGCTTTGAATTTGAAGAGTGCAGACATAATTCCTTATTCATTAGGTACGAGAGAAGTCTTCAGTTGGCAAGGTGGTGGTTGATGAAATCGCAGAATTCATCCGAGACTCTTATTCACATAATGATTCTGGCATAGTTTATTGCTTTTCTAGAAAGGAATGTGAGCAGGTTTGTGTTTCTAGTTTATTTTCCTGTCACATAATTTGTTTCTAGTTTTAAGTATAGCGAAGACTTTGAGGCCCTAATAATAGAAGACCAAAAGCAGACTATATTCCTTAACAGCTCCCTCTCCCCTCTACAATCTTCTATAACCATTCTTTTACTTTTCAATCAAATTTCACAAATCCATTAAACTATTTCCTTATCCACACCTCGAAAACCCTTGCCCCTGGTATTACCTAGCACCGCTGTACATTCATGGAATTGGCATAGTCTCGGTTTGGTCAGATTGCATTTAAGCTGGGGAGTTGGCAATGTTGACCCTTCCAAAATTGTCAAAAACATGATAGATATAGTTAAAGAAAAAAATTCGAGAAATGATTGTAGGGTAAGCAAGTTTTGAAGTATAATGCCCGAATTTGGTTGGTATTTATTACTTTACATTAATGATCTTAGGTTGCAAAGGAGTTGCGAGAGAGAGGAATATCAGCTCTTCATTATCATGCAGACATGGATGTAAATGCTCGTGAAAATGTTCATATGCGGTAATGTTGTTCACTCATTGTAGATACTTTGCAGTAAATTTGTTTTCATAATATGATTACTGGGTGACTGTACAGTGAAATTGCATCACTGTTGTTTTTGGTTGTTGAGGAAATTGCATCACTATTGTTAATTCTCATCAAAGTAAGCTATTTTTGGGAACAAAATCTTACTGTGCTATTTGTGCTGCTGACTAAAGCTTACCTTGGATTTAACCTCTTATTAGTTACATTTCTTGAAACTCTGGATGTCTTCTTTCTATCCCCTTGATGAGGACATCTTTGTGAAACCCATTAGGGTTTACAAAAGAAAGAGATGGAAGAGGAAGTCATTTAATTTGGTCTTTAAATCTGACAATTTTTTATTCCTGCGATTAGTTTCTAACTTGTTCTCTAAGTTTTCCAGATTTTAGTAAAATTTTTAAGTTTCCAGATTTCAGTGGGATTTCTAAGTTTCCTATTTTATTTAGGTTAGAATTTATGTTTTAGCAAGAGATTTTTTTATCCTATTGTCTCTGGGTTTTAGTTTGCTATAAATACCCCTCTCATGTAATTCATTATGGAGTTGAGTTGTTGAAATATTAATTCAAGTTTATTTTCCAGAGATTGGTGACTTCTTGGTGTGAAGCCAAACCCCTGGAGTGATTCCAGACCTCCTTGTTCGTTCTATTTTTTGTTTTCCATTGTTTTCGCTTCCGCTACATACATAAACACTCAATTCACCCATATCCTACATCACCCCTAAGTGTCACAAATATAAAATTCCGGTTTCTTTCCCAGATTGTGGATTCCTTATCCACTCTTTGTAATTAACTTTCAGTCTTTAATAAAATTATGTTTCTTTTATAAAAAAGAAAAAGAAAAAGAAAAGTATTAGTGCCATAATCAGACAATTCCCTGAATGAAGTATCAGACATCTATTTGGCTGTATCAGAAGAGTATTACTCCATATCCACAACATTTTTAAGTATTTGTGCTTCATAGAGGACAGGTAGTGGCATAAGAGTGAATAAGTTGATGATGGAGAGTGATATAATTGAGAGTGAGGATGAAGTGATTGGTTTCTTTGAGAGGTTGTACACTGAAGAAGTGAATTCAAGCTACATCTAGTTTATCAAACCAAAAAATATTGATGACACTACAGCTTTCAAGTCTAGAATAATGTCAGAAAGAGAAGTGTTCCTAAATTCAGGAGAGCTAAATCATTTGGTTGAGGCTTTGGGAAGGGGGAAGAAAGCTAAAACATTATGGGGTTGTTTGCTGTTCGCAGTTTTCTGGAACATTTAGTTGGAGCACAATAGAAGAATCTTTGAGGATTATAAGGGCGTGGGGGTAGAGAACTTTGAGATAGAGTGAGGTTCTGGCCAGCTTTATGGGCATTGGTCTTTGGCTGATTTTAAGGATTATGCTGATTCTTCTATAATGTTGGATTGTTAGCAGCTTTGAAGTGAGAGTATGATTTTTTGTTCAGTGAGCATGTTCTATTGTACTTCCTTTTGAGTTGTACTTTCTTGTTTTTTACTTGTTCTTTCCCAGATTGTGGATTCCTGTTTCATTCTTTATAATTAGCTTTTTTACGTTAGTGAAATTATGTGTCTTATATTTAAAAAGAAAAAGAAAAAAAAGGAGAAACAGATGCCCAAAGCGCTACCCAATACTTGACCTTATCCCACACCTCCTCCACTTCCAACCCTCAAACATCATCAAAGATCCGTTGCTTTCTTTCCGACCAAATAGCCTAATTCATAGCCATCATCATACAACCTTGGGTGGGACCTTAGATTTCTAAATCAGGCTGAAAGGAAGAAACAGAGGACCACCTGGTTTGCGTCTCAGCCGATTACAAAAGTCTCTAAACACCATTTTCTTGCATCCTCTCTGTATGGAAATAATCTCACCTCCTCCAGAAAACCTATTTAAACTCAATTGTCACCCTTTATTGTCTATTCTCAGCAACTAGTATTACCGTTATGGATGTTGAGATTACTCTGCCTTTCTTTCAAGTTATTTATTTAGTTTGTTGAATGCTTATTCATTGTCATGTGTCAACATATATTCTTTTGTTTAGTCACTTTCTGGATCCCCTTTTGTATGTTTGATGATACAGGTGGAGTAATGGAAAACTACAAGTCATCGTTGGCACGGTATGCTTGTTTTCGGTTCCCTTATTTATTTTAGAATCTTCTTTTTTGCCAATTGATATTCCTTACACCTTAGCTTGCATATGTGTTCCAGGTAGCATTTGGCATGGGAATCAACAAACCAGATGGTTAGTATTTCATAATGAACTGTTTTGTTTTGGGGTATATGGCTTCTGTTATAGAAATTTATGTATAAATATCCTACTTTGCTTACTAGTTTAACATTATGCGGGGACTTGATTAATTTGGTGGTTTTCTAGTCATCATATTGGAACTTGACTCCTATTTAGGAGCAGTGATTTCATAGGCGCGTGCTTCAACGGCGCAATACCATGTAGGTGTAATTGAGGCTTACACAAGGTGCGCTGGAGGCGTGAATGTGCAATTAAGGCTCAAAAGCAATAGATCTAGGCGTCTTGTTTTTCTTTCGAAGCACCCAGGGCCCAAACTATGTAGTTTTGGCCCTTTCATAAAAAAACTTTTAAACCCCTATCTCAGTTAGACAGACCTGGTAGCTAGCTATCCATTTCCTCCCAGCAGCTGCGCGTGACTTCTTCTCTCTTGGAGGGCAATATTTCCCCACATTCAACCTCCTAAACACTAAAAAACTAAACAACCCATATAATATTTATTGAATTAGGCATACAAAAGGTGATTCCTATCCATTTTCGACATAATCCCTCAAATAATTTTATTTGAGGGACACCCTTTAGAGTACCCTATAAATTTTTTTCCAACAATCGAAACCATCTATTTTTTAAGTCTTCTTTCATAGATCATCTTGCAAAAAATTAGATAAATTGGAAACCATTTAGACATCTAATGGTGTCTAACAAAATCAATGAACTCAGTGCTTCAAGAAAGTACTAAAATGTCAATAATTTAATTGAGGGGTCACATGATATTGGATTCAAGTGATTTTTTGTAGAGATGATCTTCGAATGAATATCTACAAAATAGACAGTTTGGATTAATGAATTACAATGTACAATGGGCCCTACAAGGGTGTCCCTCAAATAAGTTATTTGAGGGATCCCTCAATTGAAGCTCACTGTATATATATATATATATATATATATATATGTTCCATTATAAAATTTCTAAGCATAAGAGGCTTCGCAGCGAGGCGTATGCCTTGCAAGGCTCTCGATAAATTGCCTCGCGTTAACGTTTTAAAACATTCATTGGGAGTCATCGATTAAGCATGATGTTTCTCAAAAGGGATTTTTGTAGAAATGTCACGTGAACTTATACATCAGTGTCAATTTTTCACCTTAAAGAAAAATTTAAGAGAAATGTCACCTTAATTTTTCAAAATTCATGATTTGTCATCTAACCAGCACCATCCAATTTTCCATCCATTTTTAAGGGTATTTTAATCTTTCTATTTTTAAGGAAAAAAAAGAAAAAGAAAAAAGAGACCTCTCTCTCCCCCTTTCTCCCCCACCCCAGCCCCACTCACCCCCAAAACACATTGCACAAGACTCCTCCCCTCTTCTCTCTATCGCTGTCTCTGTCTCTGTCTCTCTCTCTAAGCATGTATAATTTTTTTTTTTGGTGTTCATTGAGCATGTCTAAAATTTTCAGATACCTGATTTAAAACTACTTAAGCTTCCCACTCAAAATCCAACCCCTTTCTTGTTTAAAAGATATACAATTTTTTTATAATGATTTTTCCATTTTTAAAATACCCTTGAAAATGGAAAGACTAAAATACTCTTAAAAATGGATGGAAAATTGGATGATGTTAAAGTCAGATGACAAATCATGGATTTTGAAAAATTAAAGTGACATTTCTCTTAAATTTTTCTTTAAGGTGACAAATTGAAACTGAGGTATAAGTTCAGGTGACATTTCTACAAAAATCCCTTCTCAAAACCATCATGCTTATAGGCCAAGATATTCCAAACTACACCAATATACACATGAGCATGCGCACACATCTACACAGTCTCTGTACTGTACATAAAGCTATGAATCTGCAAAAATATTCACTGAATTGAGAGAAACTTAATAGATTATTGAATGCGTATTTCACTTAAAAATTTCTCTATCCCAAATAGGTATCTAATTTGCTCATGTCATGTTAAACCAAAGACAAAAGAGCTTTTAGCTAGAAGCTTCAATTTTAATTTTAATTTTTTGAAAAGGGACATAATCTATAAAGAATTTATAAAGAATTTTTTTTTTATCAATTTGATTTATAATTTACACTACTTTTAGACCGTAGGTCTAAAACTTTATCATGCTTTAATTTGTTCAATCAATGAATTTTATTTTTGGTGTGTTATGGGTTGGGTTGATAATGGATTTTATTTTGTTAATTTGTTTATAGGGTACTTGGTGTGTGATTTTGGTTTATGCAGATGTCTCATCTAACCTGTAGTCCAGTTTTCAAACAAACTATTTTAATTCATGCTTTTCATGAACATGCACACAGAACGATATTGATGTGTATAGTAAATTGGAGGCTCTATATGAATGGCTGATTTTTCATCCTTGCTGTAGTTTAGGGAACTGCCTTGCCCCCTATGTTGTAATTTTCTTTTCTTTTCAATGGAAATATTTTGTTCTTCAAAAAAACATTAAAAAAAAGATAAAGAAAGGATAGTTTTGAATACAATAAATAAAAATAATTCAGAATTTCAAATTGGTAAGTATGAGAACCATTTTATATGTTAGAAAACCGTCATATGTCGTGCAACTTCTGCAAGCCACGTATCCTAAGCCATGGTGCAGCTCATATATGGGTGGATGGGGGTCAGGTCAGTCTAATGTTCAAAGTCTAAAGATCCCAGACAGAAAAACTTATGCAATTGATGCTTTCTTCTTTTATGTTATTTCCCTGTGCATTGTCTGTCATACATGGACACTTTAAGTCTTATTTTTCTGTTATATTTAATACTTGGTAACTGCTTGTAGTCAGGTTTGTCATCCATCACAGCCTAAGTAAATCAATGGAAACATACTACCAGGTTTTGTGCCTTTCCAGCTACACTTACATATTTCTTTAATTTTATCCCTTCTGTAACCTTCATTGCTCCAGGAAAGTGGCCGAGCTGGACGAGATGGACTCCCTTCTCAATGCCTACTTTACTTTAGACCTGGTGATGTTCCTAGACAGGTATTATTTTCCACCACTGCACAACTGTACAATTTCCTAGAAGATGATGTAATCTTTGAATTTGACATTTCTCTGAGCAGAGTTCAATGGTCTTCTATGAAAATTCCGGATTGCAGAACCTTTATGACATAGTACGATATTGTCAGGTAGTGTCCTCCATTTTAAGCATCACATTTTCTGCAGGCCACAAGCTTCAACTCAGCTTAAACTGATGCGTCATAGAAGTGCCTGATTATTGTCAATATTGAAACTGAACTATCCACAAAAAATAAAAAGGAAATAAAAATACAGGTGGTGCTTGCCACCAATATCTTCCCTTAAAAGGAAGTAATTATAATTTTACCCTTTCTAAAAGTACGTAGAAGACAAAAAATACTTATTTTACCCTTTGTCTTGCTTGAACAAGCACCTTAATTTATGGATCTGTTCTTCTGATGTTGAACATGTGATCCTTTCCCAAAAAAAAAACATATTCTCTCTTGATTTGAATTTATTTTTGAGTTTGCATACTTATGAGGACTGAATAACAATTACACTCATTGCATCATGATGAGAAAGTCATACCTCCTTTGGTTTCCTAACATTTCTAGCCTTGGGCCGGATACATTTAAATTTCTGCAATACTTGTGCTTAATCTAGCATAAGATGTAGCGTCTTATCGATTTCTCTTTACTGTTGCAGTCAAAAAGACAATGTCGCCGTAGTTCGTTTTTCCGCCATTTTGCTGAGCCATTACAGGACTGCAATGGTACCATTTTTTTATTGGTAGTTAGTCCGTGTGTTCACAAGCACATGCATATGCACTCATGGGGACACAGTTAGTTAGTTTGGTATTACAACTGCCTATCTCTAATATAAATGCAATCAATGCTATCTCAGGGATGTGCGACAACTGTGCATTTTCAAATGAGGTTAAAGAAGTGGATGCCTCTCGTATGTTTTTCTGAATTCTCTCCAAAAGAGTACAATCCTTTATTAATTGTCTGTTATTTTATATTATGCATTAATGACATTGGTGTGGCTTCATTTCTTTTTGTGGTTTCTACGTATGCAATTTCAGTCTGTTCCTTCCACGTAGCCTATTACATTTTGTCTATGAGAATTTAAACTTTGTGTGTCTAGTTATTTTCACTTTGTACTCAAATTACTGTCATCACTAATTATGTTTTCTGCTAGTCTTCCATTATGTCATCACAATAGAGCGGACAAGATATCCGCTAGTCTTAAATACAGAACGATAAAACTAAAAATCACAGCCGTGTTCCAGTCAGAAAATATTGAAGGAAAATAAAAAAAGCCCAAACGCAAACCCTCTCCGACAAGTAGTCCAGCTCCTCCTGCCACAGGACAACCTAAAAATTCTTCGACGACTCTATCCAAATAGCTGAGTAAGAATGGTTAGATTCCTCATTTTAGCAATGCCGTGTATAATGCATGACTGCATTTTGTTGCCAACAGGGAAAGATTATGGATTCTTAGTTGTGAAAATGATGTAAGCACCAAAAAAGGAGGAAGAATAAGGTTTATAAGCTCGAGGATAAAAAGGGTAACAATCTTATTCTGAAAAAGCAAACTAAATTAACCTTTGGGAGAGATTAACAAAATCTAGATTAGTTGGACTCCTCTTCCCAAATGACAAATCAAAAGTTGTAGGCTTCCATTAGAATGGTGGTATGCAGAACAACCTGATGAAATTTGAATTGTCAAATTACTGAATTTCATTGCTTAAATGCCTGGGATTTTTTCTTTTATCTTCCAGGATTTCCTTAGTATGTTGGTATGCCAAACAACCTGATGAAATTTGAAATGTGTTTGTTTTGAGTAGTGAGAAAAATACTTTTCTAAATTTCGCTCATTTTGGAACATCATGGAAATGTCATGTCCTTGTTTTTAGTTGTGGTACGTGTTGATTCAGTTGAACCTTTTGATAATACCCTTCAATCTTCTGTTTTCAGAGGTGAGGGATAAGCATCGCCATATAACATTAATACTGCAATTTCTCATGTAGAATTCTTAGAGTCTTGTTTGATTAAACTATCAATTTTCATTCATTCGGTAAAACTATTTGTGGTCACCCATCTTAAATGCTTATATCATCAGCTGGCTTTTTTTTCTTCTTTTCTTTTAGTTTTTGGTCTTTCATGAAAATAATGTGCACGCATATTCTTCACTTGGAACGGTTATCTTTGATGCAAAACATTGGCGTGCTTTGCAGGTCATGCGAAGCTTATTATTTCTTTGCTGCAAGATACACAAGAAAATGATCAGAGATTGACAGTGTTGCAATTAGTTGATAAAATTAAAGCAAAGCACAAGGAACTAGGTATGTTTTATTGCTTGATAATTTAATTATTTTTAACTTAGATTTTTGGTACCGATGGAAATATACCATATTAGCTCAGAGACACCACATATCAATAAAATGTTTCTAATACCAGTAAGTCTTGGTACATTATTTCATTTTAATTTTAATGTGGATCACTTGCTAGTTCAATGTATTGATCAACCTTCCCCGCCATAATATTGTATTATTCATAGAATGGAAACTTATTTTTGGTGTATGAAATACTCAGGTTCTGAGCTGAAGAGGGAGGAAATAGAGCAGCTTGTCATAAAACTCATATTAGATAGAACTTTGGTAAGTAGCCTAACATTTGGACCTTTTAAAAGTTGATTGTTCTCAAATTTTACTAGCTGGTTTTATGAAAATATGGAAAATTTTGAGTTTTAAGTTTTAACTAATATTTGTTAGTTAATCCCTTAAGATTTTGGGTCTGGTGATTGCCCCACATGGTATCAGAGCTCTGGTTGTAGGGGGTCCTAAGTTAAATCTCCAATCCCCATTGCCCACTTCTTTGTTGTTTTGAAAGGTGCAGAGTGGGTGATTTAGCAGATGCACTTTAAAGAAAAAAATAGAGAAATCCTCTCTAGGACCTTGAATTCTCAGGGGAAGATTAAAAAAAAAAGAAGAAAAAGATATAAATCTCCAAAATCTGGAAGTTTTGATAAAATTGTATAAAGAAGCTGTGTACTATATCTTTTTAAAAGAGTATTTAAACAACGGTTACAGCAACCATAGCGTCCTAGCCCTTAATTACTTTAATCCTGGCCCGCCAAAATACTTTGAACTCACATGACTGTAAAGATTATTATCTCCTATATAAAATAACACATAAACAACTAAAGCTTCTTGGATCTAGTGGTTGTAAATTGTATAAAAATATTCAATGAGCTAGTCCTTTATTGTTGATACAAAACTATTGAATGCATCAATTCCTTGGTCCCTTATAATACTGGTATTTTCTTGAAGTTTCTGAATTATTCCTAGAAAACATGTGTATCTTACCTGAACAAATTAAATTAAATTAAATTGTGTTAACTTTGACTCTGCCCAACCCAATGCATTGGCAATTTCACTTGTGCATTTGTTTGTTTTTGCCCAGAAATTTGTTTGCTTGATGTATGTTATTTACTCTCTTTTTTTCTCATTGAACAACTCAAAACAGTAGGCAGTGCTCCTGTATAACAACCTATAAGTGATTGAAATTTTTAAAGGCAAAAAGATTGTCTCCTAATTTTTTTCTCTCTATAAAGTATGCAATCTGTTAAATCTGATGTAGTCATATTATTAATTTAGTTGACCATGCATGATGTGGTTGTTTCAAGTATGTTCTGTTCTCGATGCAGAAAGAAGAATTTCAGCATACAGCTTATTCCACAAATGCATATGTAACAATAGGACCCTTGGCAAAGCAAGTATTGCACGGTAAGAATGATTTTTTTTTTTCTTCTCAAAGATGTACCATATAACCATTGTGTACTGAAAATCTATGTTTGATTTTCCAGTTTTGCTCTTTGTATTTCCATATTCTGACACAGATATTAGTTTTATGTTAACTCCATTATTATCGAAATTGCTAAGTTCTGAAAGTTTCAGTTTTGAGGAATTTAATATTGAGAATGATAACATTTTTGTAGCATCACTAGTGCCTTTGTCTGGACGGCACTGTCGAAACCCCTATCTGAATTGGTTCTGTTGAAAAATCTTAACTAGTTTAACATTGTCATGATATACCATGCTAACGTCCTACTCAATGTTGAACCTTAAAGAAAAGATCAGTCTAGTAAAAGGAAGATATTGATGATTTATCCCAATGACATTATTGATGATTTATCCCAATGACATTATGCTTAGTTAATATTACAAGAAATTTTCCAGAAAATTTAAATTTGTATGTGTGTGTGTGTGTGTGTATATATATATATATAACCAAGAAAAAAAGGGTTATCTTACCATAGAATACTGAATTGTGAAGTAAAAATAATATTGTAACAATCAGGAACCAATACTCCCTACCTGGAAGAGTTAGGTTTGGAACTTCTAGGCTGATACAATAAGTTGGTTGATTACTGCTTTTCTTGTTACTTGTTTTGGTTTGTTATTTATTCATTTTATTATAATTATTCTTGGTATTTCTAGAAATATGCACTTCTAAAAAGGCTGCAAACTTTGCTGTGCTCTTCATGCTTCCTTTAAGATACTGACAATGACAATCAAGAGTAGCCTTTTCTGTTACTCTTAGTTTGAAGTAATACTACAGTTAATAATTTGCTTCAAATTTTTTGTTTTTTTGGGTCAATATAGTTTGCTTTTACGTATCAGTTCTGTTGATGAAGTTGGCAAAACAGCCTTTACCTGTACCCTTCTATGGATGAAGGTGGCATTCTAACAGTGAGCATTACAAGTATTGAGCCATTTTTCGTTTTCCATCCCTTTTGCACTGAGTTTCTACTTCTGTTCTCAAGACTAGCCCATATGTGTATCCATTAAGAAAGAAAAGTGTTATAATACTGTTGACTCCTTTTTGGTTTATTTTCTGGTTATGCTCTAATTGGCATCATTCCCTTATCTTTTCACATTTAGGGAAGTGCAGTGTTAAACTTGAAATTTCTAGCGGACAAAATAAAGTAGCTGGTATAAAATCAGTTAAACGCAGTTGTGCTTCCTCTGGTTTGGAATTGAAGCTAGACGAGCTCAGAAAGGAACTCTCCTCAGTTCATGGAGGAATATTCCCGCATTCTGTTCTCTCGACTCAACAAATCAATATGATAAGTGCCCAGAAGCCAAATTCTATGGAACTGGTTCGTTTCGTAAACATTACTCTTCCATTCAATATATTCTTAGCCATATTACATCAACGTGTTAAGTTAGTGGGAGCTTGTTCCTGGTATGGTTGTCTCTGGAACAAAACCTACAATATATATGTCTAACTGCCTTTTCAAAATTTTGTGCAATTTGTGCCATCTAGTAAAAACGTATTTCATTCCTTTGCAGTTGGAGAATATAATTGGAAAACTCAAGGCAGAGAAATACGGAAGTAGAATACTTGAGCAAGTGAATACGTATGCAAATTCGACACAGCGGGAGGATGCCAAAGAAGATCAAGATATTGAAAATAGAGCCTCAAAAAGGCTAAAGAGCAAAAAGCATCTTGTTCTTGTTGAGAGCAGTGATGATGAATCCTGACAGAAACAGTTCTCATTCTTATACGTCTTTTTTCTGTGTCTTCCCACAACATAGCCCTTGTACTAAGGATGGGGCTCATACTTGAGTTCCGTGGCACCCTTGTCAATTTTGTGGTGTAGATGGAAATAGGAATCGAAAATTATATTTCTTGCCAATATTGAGAACTGCTGAAAAGGTGTTCATTTGTTCAATCAATGGCAAAAGGGTGAAGAAGTCAATTTTCTCTTTTTTATTATTTTTTTTGGGTTTATTTTCATATGGAGTTCTGATATCAAAATACTATCAACGTGACCACGAACACACACAAATGCCCTATCAAACTAACAGAGTAATATCGTGAGGAAAAAAGAAACTAACATAGTACTATTAACTTTTATTTTGAACCCTTTGGATGTAAATAGATCTAACAGCTAAAAAGAATTCTAAGAATATTTGTATGCAGAAGTTAATTGCGGGATGGCAGCGGGGGTGGTCGGGTTGGGTTTGCCATTCGGGTAAAAGGAGGCCTGTAGTTTTGTCAATTCTTCAAGTGTGACACATGCAAAGTGTAATAATCTTATAGCTAAAGCGTTCTGCAGACGTTCTATTTGAGGGATGTAATACAGAGAGCTTTTATTGAGGGATATCTTTCACTAATATCATGACTATTTAATTGAGTTATTGAAATTTTAGTACTTTCTTGAAGTACCATGTTCATTGATTGTGTAGGACACAATTGGATGTCAAAACAGTTTCTGATTTGTCTAATTTTTTTGCAACAATGATCTATGAATGTAGACTTAAAAAATAGATGGTTTGGATTGTTGAAAAAAAATTCGTAGGGGACCCTAAAGGGTGTCTCTTAAATAAAAGACTTAGTTAAGTACATGCCCCCTGTGCTTTGAAGTTTATCTCATATTACCACCTGTGTTTGCAAACGTCTCAAAGTACCCCCCCAACGTTTAAATAACCGTCTCAATTTACCCCTTCCATCAAATTTTTTGATGGTCTGTTACGAACAATGGGCCCCACTTCGTTTTAACCTTTAAGCTGTTCGAATAAGGGTTTCTCAGTTTCTAACAAAGGGGAAATTGGGTTTAGGGTTCATTGGAGAATAGGGTTGTCAAAATATGAGGGTTCCTTCAATTTTGGGAGAATTTGGAGAAGAAATCATTGTTTGGCGTTAGACTTTAAGGCTAGAATGTGCGAAAATGGTGGTGCTTAGAGAGTCTGGAGGTTGTCAACCCATATGTAAGTGGACCCATTGTTACTCGATTTTCTTGATTTGGGCATGTGCATTGAACTGTTGTTAGGATTTTATTTTTGTTTTTTTGTATACTTTTTGACTCTGTGGTGGTTCTGGTGTGATCATTGTGTGGTCCTTGCATGTTCCTAGTCTGGTGTGTTGCTGGAAATTTTTTTTATTCTGTGCTGGCCCCAATATACCTTATGTGGTCCTTGAGTGTTCCTTGTATTATCCTTTTGTGGTCCTTGTTTTCTCTTTGTGTGTTTTTTTCATTTGTTAAGTGAATGTTCTTGTTACGCAGATAAAGATGCTGATGAGGTTGTCACATTTAAGTTTTTCCATGGAGGTAAACTAGTGAAAAATAGAAAGGACAGTCAGTGGTCTTATTTAGGTGGTGAAGTCAGTTGGTTTGATTACTGTGAGGTTGACTATATGTCCATGTTAGAGCTATTTGGAATGGCTAAAGATTTGGGATATGACGATGGGTATGATGTGAGTTTTTATGGTGAAGAGTTTGGAACTAGTAGACTCATTCAAATAATATCTGATAGTACACTTTTAGCTTGTATGAGCATGATACCTAAAAGCAATAGCAGGGTGATAGTTTTGTACTTGAAGGTAGTGAGCTTGAGTTCAAGCCAAGTGGGGAATGATAGCAGTGATAAAAAATATTCTCGTTCTGAGGATAATAATAGTAGTGATCCAGACTTTGAAGACAGTGACTATGCACAGAGTGATGAAGAGATTGACTTATTGAAGAAGGATGATAAATGGTTTGAAGGTTATGTGGATCATAGTATTTTTGACAATGATCCTAATGCAGAGCAAAATGATGAGTCAGACAAAGGAGAAGAGTCACCTACACTTACCTGTCCAAATAGTTCACAAAGTGAAGATGATGCAGTGGGTGAAGTAAGAAGGAAGAATAATAGGATGCCAAAAGGTGAAGATTTCAGACCTGAAATTGATATGGCAAGCCCAGGTTTCAAAATAGGTTTAAGGTTTGCAACTGCCGAGTTGTTTAGAAAAGCTGTGAGGATATACTCCATTAATTGTGGAAGGGAGTTGATTTTTATGAATAATGACCGTAACTGCAGGTGAAAACCTTTAATCCTACACATGTTTGTAGCAAGGGGACTAAAAATATACATGCTACTGTTGGCTGGTTGGCTGAAAGATATTTTGGGCAGTTAAGGCTCAATCCAAATTGGACTGCTTCTTCTTTTGTAGAGCAAGTTCACCAAGACTATGGTTACAGACCATCTAGAGCAAGTGTGTACAGAGCAAGAGCTATGGCAGTTGACATTGTAGAGGGGTCTTACAATAAACAATATAAAGTATTGTGGGAATATTGTCATGAGTTAAGAACCAGAAATGTGGGAAGTACAGTTATCATTAAATCTGAAATGGAAGGTGATAGGCCACGGTTTCAAAGAATTTACATATGTTTGAAGTAATGCACCATAGTGGCTGCACCTTTGCTGTTGATTTGAATGCCTACTCTTGTTCATGCCATGCTTGGGATTTGAATGAAATACCATGTTTGCATGCGTGTGCTGCAATAAGTTGGTTTCATGGGAATCCAGAGGACTTTTGTGATGCAGTGTACAAGAAAGAGGCTTGTTTGAGAGCCTATGAATCAATGATTATGCCTATGACTAGCCAAGATCAGTGGATGAAGATTAATTTACCTCCATTACTCCCTTCGAAATACCACAAGCAGCCTGGTAGGCCTGAGAAGACAAGAAAACAAGCTGTTGAAGAACCTAAAAAACCTTCTAATCCATATAAGCTTCCTAGGTATGGCCTCCCTTTAAAGTGTAGCAATTGCGGTGGAGAATGACATAATCGAATTAGTTGTAAGGTATGTGTCATTATAGGCTTATTACTTTACATTTAAATGTATTTGATTTGGTTTCTGACTTGATGACTTTGGTTATTAGGAACCTAGAAATCTCAACATAAAGCCTACTAGGAAGAGGAACGTTGCCAAGGACAAACTTGAAGTAAGTGCCACGGTTTCAACTATGTTTTCACTCATCAAAATTTTATATCATGGAAACTTCTAATTATTATTTGTTTTAGGTAAGAAGAAGAGATGGTAGAGACCAAAGTAGCGGACAGCAGAGTATGCAATTAAGGCAAAGGAAACGCAAAAGCAGTTCCCAAGGGCCTTTTCAATCCCAGGCATCTCAAGTATGCAATTAAGGCAAAGGAAACAGTCAAGCACTTCCCAAGGGCCTTCTCAATCCCAGGCATCTCAAGTAGCTGCTGCTTCTCTATCCCAACCATCTGAAGCAGCTGATGCTTTTCAATCCCAGCCATCTCAAGCATCTGAACCTGCCAAATTATCTCGAGTACAATAACGTATGAGGAGGATGAAAGATCAACAGAAAAGCCATTTTGTCAAAGATCCTTTTTTTCATCCTTGAATGTTGTGGAAGACTTTAATGGTCCAGACATGGTTGTTGGTTTGTGGGATTATTGATGTCTATTATGGTTGGAACTTGTTTTGGTTGGAACCTGTATATTTGATGTCTGTTATGTTTGGAACCTATTATGGTTGGACCTGTTTTGGAACCTGAATATTTGATGTATGTTATGGTTGGAACCTATTTTGGTTTGTGCATATATTCCTAAGGTTGTTACGGTTGGAATCTGTTTTGGAACCTGTTTTGGTTTGTGTTATGTTTTGGAACCTGTTCTGTTTTGGTTTGTGCTTGGAACCTGTTCTGTTTTGGTTTGTACTTATAATGACAGGTGCTTTTGCTAGTTTTGGGCTTTGCCTCTTGCTTTCCAGATTCCAGTAAACTTTGGCATGTTACCAAAGGCTACATATCCACCATAAACTTTGGCAAAGAAGGCAGGTCCTGCTTTTTTGGGGAAAACTGAATTTTGGTTATCTTCTTCTAGATTCATCAAGAAATTACCATTCAATTTACCATTCATATCACAGATCAAACTTAACTAGCATTACATTCATGTCACCATTTGTAACCTCTAAACAGCTTACCATTCATGTCACCATTTGTAACCCCTAAACAAATTACATATCCAGTAAACTTAACTAGCATTACATTACATTACACCAAATGACATTACATTACACTGCCAAAGTGCCTTACATTAGATTAGCATTTGTTCTCAAATTAAATTTGCCCATTAAACTACTACCAAAGTGCTTAACTACTGCCAAAATGCCTTACATTACATTAACATCAGGTATCAAATTACAATGCCCAATGAACTACTGCCAAAGTGCCTAATTCATCTTCATGGCAAACACCACCAACCACGAAAGCAACATAGCAGCCCACAATATTTTTGACTTTGCTCGAATCTTTGCATTTTCCTTCTCCACCCTATCAATCTTCCTCAGCAAACCAGGTATCAACGATTTTGAACGCTCACACATTTTTGCATCAAACCACTGAAAAAACCTACATCCTTTTTCTCCACTTCCCTGTATCAACCAAGAACAATGACTGAAAATTTGGGTGGTAAAATGACTGAAAATTTCATCAATCATTGACAATTTCATCACTAACAACTCTATCAATTTGTGATGCCCAAAACAATGACTGAAAATTTTATCTTAAACATGCTTACCTTTGACTTTGGGCAGACTAGAAATCTTCGCCCTGGGTTTGAACTGGTCCAAGAAGTCTGCATCCGTGCTAACTTTCCACAATGACACCATTGGCCATGCCTTCCTTCTCCTTGCTTCTCTCCTGTTTCCATCAACCCAAATCTTCTACTCTACAATCTTCTAATTTCAAACTCCACCTCAGAGTTTTACAAACAATGATTTTTTCTCCAAATTCTCCCAAAATCGAAGGAACCTCAGATTTTGACAACCTTCTTCTCCAATGAACCCTAAACCCAATTTCCCCTTTGTTAGAAACTGTGAAACCCTTATTCGAACAGCTTAAAGGTTAAAACGAAGTGGGGCCCACTGTTCGTAACGGACCGTCAAAAAATTTGACAGAAGGGGTAAATTGAGACGG